ATACACGTAATTTAAGAAATGTTGACTTATTTCTATATCGTTTTAGCAGTGTGGGGGTTAAGGGTCTTTGCTCAGAGAGCCAGATGCAGGCTGTGGGGATCAAATGGGATACCTGCAACCTTCTCAGAGCAAAAGCACTGCTCTAACCACTAGGCCAACACTCCCCCAATAAGCAAAGTTGAGCGAATCATTGGTGTGTTTGAATCATCCAGATGTGCATGTTTGCTGCTTACACTGAGAGGAGTCCGATGGGCCCAGTAATGCACTGTCCACCCAGTTTAAAGTACTGGAAACAAGCCTTCCTCAGCTCGTGAAGAGAATCTAACAAAACCCAAAACAAGAGCGAGATGAGAAAGCGACAAAAACAGCAGATATAGAAATCTGTTCCCGGCGATTAACGTTAATCTTCTCGTTAGGTTTTCCCTCATGCGGCACGAGGCGCAGAGGGAGGCGGTGACTCACTGTCAGTGGCTGCAAACAGCTCATACAGAGCCTGGGCCAACACGTTCACCACAAAAGAATGTGATGACTTGCGCTCCCAGTGGAATTTTTTCTTTGCCTGTTGGGGGGAGAGAAAAAAAGGAAAAAAATCATGGGGTGTTAAATTGCACACTGGTCTGCAGTCTCCCACCTACAGCAGATTTGAATAAAACATGACGCTGCTCACTCCAAATATAGATTCTGCTTGTATCCCTCCTGCATAACTTTGATCCAGGAAAATCAATGGGCTGCCGGCGCTGAGCGAGGCTTATGATTTATATCAGAGGTAGCACCATAATGGTCTGATTCTAGATCTTTATTCCAAGTCTTACCTTTTTTTCTGTATTTATTCCTAATAAACAAACCACTGGAAATAAATCGAAATCTAGATAAGTCGTTTTTTCTTAAAATAATGCATTTGTTCTTGGATTGAGGAGGTAAACGAGACATTTTTCCAATGAAACAGGACAATTTACACTTAAAATAAGAAAACATAATTGCATTGTCTTATTTCAAGTGCATATTATCTAATTATCTCATTTATCTACTCAGATTAAGGGTATATGCACTTAATTTAAGAAATGTTTACTTATTTCTAGATCATGTTCTAGTGTGCCAGACGTGTTCCTCTGCTCACCTGCAACAGTGCTGAGTCATCGTATAAATCTGGGATGTTCCTGAGCAGAATCCTCCAAATGCAGACGTCGTTAAGGGCGACGCTCATCCCTCCGCCCGTCAGAGGATGCCTCATGTTGTAGGCGTCGCCCAGGAGGAGCACACCTGCAAATATAAGGCGTCTGTTGTTAAGGAAGCGGTGAAAGTAACAAAACACAGATTCATGATCAATTTCTAAGACACACTTATCTTTGGAGGAAGAAGATAAGTTTGATATTTTACCATTTACTAGATAGGTGTGTTTTTATTTTTTTAATTCAATTATTTTTATTTATTAAAGCTATTTGCTCTTTGTTCTTGCTCTGCAGGTAATTTTTGCTCATTACTTTTGCAGTTTGAACCAAAGCATAAATCAAAGGATGCCTTTCCCAACATACCGGTATGTTTAATTACGTTTAGTACAATGATGCGCGCAAACAGAGCTCTGCAAACATCACTGCCATTAGCAACAGTGAGTTTATAGTCTGTGTGTTGATCATCTGTTGATTGCAGTGATAGATATTAGCAGAAATACAGGGGCCCTCACAATTAAAGATGCTTTAAGGCCCCATGGAGACTTAGGCCCTTATTGGACGCCATTATTGTTGTTCTGCTCCTCTGATTCTAACGAGCTGAGATCTAAAAAGTTTACATTTCAGAAAGAACTTCAGAGAGAATCTTTGCTAAAAACTACGGAAGAGGATTAGGGCCACTGGAAGAAAAAAAAAGTTTACTGATTTTAAAATTTTATTTCAATTTAGTATGGGAAAAAAGTCAGAATTCTGACTT